AGGTGCTAACTATCCTCTGAGTTTTCAGAGTTATAATTTTTCTGCTGGAAGAGGGTCTTGCCTCAATGTTGATGGCAGTGGACTGATCCGGGTAGTGACTGCTGAAGTTTGATGTGGCTATGACAATTATTTAAAATAAGACAAAAATGAAGTCTGAGGCATTAAGGGACTCTTCCCTTCACAAACAATTTCTCTGTAGAATGCAATGCTGTTTGATAGCATTTTACCCACAGCAGAACCTTCAACATGGGAGTCAATCCTCTCAAACCCTACCATTGTTTTATCAACTAAGTTTATGTAATATCCTAATCCCCTGCTGTCATTTCAATAATCTTCACATCTTCACCTGGTATAGACTCCATCTCAAAAAACCACTTTCTTTGCTCACTCCTAAGAAAAACTCCAATCCACTAAAATTTGATTATGAGATTGAAGCAACTCAGTCCCAACTTCAGGCTCCACTTCCAAGTCTAGTTCTCTTACTATTTCCATCACATCTACAGTTCCCTCCTCCATTGAAGTCTTGAAACTCCTTAAATTCTTCCAAGAGGGTTGGAATCCACTTCTTCCAGACTCCCGTTCATGTTGATATTTTGACCTGTCCCATGAATCACAAATGTTCTTATGGCATCTAGAATGACTATTCCTTTCCAGAAAGTTTTCAATTTACTTTGCCTAGATCTCAGAAGAATGACTACCTATGGCAGCTATAGCCTTAAAAAGTCTTTCTTAAATAATAAGACTTGAAAGTCGAAATGACCCCTTAATCCACAGGCTGCAGAATGGATGTTGTGTTAACAGGCATGAAAACATGAATATCATTGTACCTCTCCACCAGAGCTGTTGGGTTACCAGGTACATTGCCTATGAATAGTAATATTTTAAAAGAAATTCATTTTTCTTTATCTCTCTCTTTCTTTCTTTCTTTTTTCTTACCATGTTGTAAACAGATATGCTGTCACCCATGCTTTGTTGTTCCATTTATAGAGCATGGGTAGAGTAGATTTAGCATCATTTTAAGAGCTCTAGGATTTTCAGAATGGCAAATGAGCACTGGCTTCAACATAAAGTCACCACTTGCATTAGCCCCTAACAAGAGTTAAACTTATCATTTGAAGCTTTGAGGCCAGACACTGACTTCTCTCTCACAATGCAAGTCATAGATGGCATCTTCTCCCAATAGAAGGCTGTTTTGTCTACATTGAAAATCTATTATTTAGTGTAGCCACCTTCATTCACTATCAGCTAGATCTGGATAACTTGCTGCTTCACCTTGCCCTTTTATGCTAGGCAGAGGACTTCTTTCCTTAACCTCATGAACCAACCTCTGTAGCCTCAAACTTTCTCACCTCTTCTTTGCTCTCATCAAATTGAAGAACTAAGGCTTTGCTCTGGATTAGGTTTTGGCTTAAGAGAATACTGTGGCTGGTTTGATTTTCTACCCAGACCACTTAAACTTTCTCTGTATCAGCAATAAGACAGTTTTGCTTTGTTTGTTCACTGCAGTAGCACTTTGAATTTCCTTCCAGAACTTTTCCTTTGCATTCACAAGCTGGCTAAGTGTTGGCTCAAGAGGCCTAGCTTTTGGCCTATCCTGGTTTTTGCCATGCCTTCCTCACTAAATTTAATCATTTATAGCTTCTGATTTAAAGTGAGAGACATGTGACTCTTCCTCTCACTTAGAGGCCATTTAGGCTCATTAAGCGGCTTAATTTCAAAATTTTTGTGTCTTGGGGAATAGGACAGTCAAAGGGGAGGGAGAGATGGGGGGAATGTGCAGTACGTGCAGCAGTCAGAACACATACATTAAGTTCGCCATCTTACATGGGTGCAATTCCTAGTGACTCAAAACAATTACAATAGTCACAAAGATCACATCACAGATCATCATAACAAATAATGAAAAAGCTTGAAATACTACAAGAATTACCACAATGGACAGAGACACAAAGTGAGCAAATGGTATTGGAAAATGGCACCAACAGACTTCAAGACAAGATTGCCACAAAACTTCAAGTTCTTAAAAAACTCATTATCTGTGAAGCACAATAAAGCAAAGTACAATAACACAAAGTATGCCCGTACACTAGACCCTGCCTAACTCTAGCAAAAGCTCCAGTCGTATCTCTAACTCTGACCACAGGGTACCAAATGCTGTGTAATTCATGCATTATCTCCTATAATTTCATGTCTTTGTTCTTTGGCTAATGTAGTTCTCCCCTGAAGTATTATCTCTCCTCCCAAACCTAACTTCTCATTCCTCAAGACAACTGAGCTCAAGTAACATCTTATCCAGAAAACTTGCTTGACCAGATCAGGTTAGACTACGTGCTTCTACTCCACCTTATCAGAATGGTTCATCGTTAACAACACATTTTATTGAAATTATCTTTTTAAATTCCTCTTTCCTCATCAGACTGGAAGTTAATCCTGAAAGCCTATCCTAGGTATTAGAATCCAATTCACTTTAACATCCTCAGAATCCAGCTCATTTATTATCCAACCACATATAGTGGATAATAAATGTATGTTACATTTAAATTGTTTCCTACTGAAAAATGTTGCTCCTTGCTTTTCTGTTTATGTACTTTTTCAAGGTAACAATTAAGGAAGACTTGACCATGACAGCTATACAATTTCATCTAATAAAGCATTAAAAATAGGACAGAACTTCCCTAGTAGACTTTTGTAAGTTAGTTCTTCTTTATCTTACCTAAGTTCTATAAAGGTCCAAAGAAACCTGAACGTTCCACACTAATCCCCTCCATATTACCCAAGTGGGTGGGGAAATATGAGGATTTATTTGTCACTTGCCTATAGTTGGAAATGTGGAACCCTATTCATATTTAGCATATGTAGAAATTTCAGTATTTTTCTTTAGCAGCCCAGTGATGAAAGCAATGAAAAAATTTTAACATTCCTTGTTCACAACTAGTTTATACATCAGAATTCAAACAAAGTAGTAACTATACATTTAATATTCTATAAAAAGAGGGTAAAAGCTATTAGGTAAGGAAGGTGGATTAAATGCACACATCTAATTTCAGTCCCTCCCCAAAACTCATTAAAACTATATTGTTGCTCTTTTTCCTTTAAGGCACAATCTCACAAAACACAGGGAGAACTGGAGAGGCAACAAGAACAAAATTTTGGAAGCAGAAAAACAAAGGGATTGCTCATATAAGCAGAGGTGCAAATTCCTAAAAAAGTTAAGAAATGCAATCCGGCAATAAACAATAGACACTGGAGATCACGTGTGTGAGCAATAGATAAATATAAAATACACCATAACCTGAGTGTATTTCAAGAACAAAGGACTAGCTTAACATTAGGAAATCAAACAATCAATTCACCACATTAACAGACTAAAGGAGGAAACAATTTGACTTTCTTAATATATAGAAAGAATGTATTTGACAAAATTCACCTTTTGTTCATAACAAAACTCTTAGCAAACTAGAAATAGAAATAAATTCCATTAATAATTGTTAAAGGACTTTAGTACAAGAAATATATAGACAAAAATCTACTTAATAAAAACTTTGAAGTTTTTTTTTTTTTTTTTGAGATCTGGAACAAGACAAGAATGTTAGTGTTTACTATTTATATTTCACATTGTATTAGAAAGCCTACCCAGAGCAATAAGGTTGGGGGGAGGTATAAAGATGGGAATGGAGGAAATGAAACTGTCATTACAAAAGATAGGATTATGTTCACAGAAAAAATCCAAACGAATTTACTGATAAATCATTAGCTAAGAGTTTAACAGGGCTACTAGACAGAAAATCATTTAAAAAAATAGATTTGTAGGGGCGCCTGGGTGGCTCAGTTGTTAAGCGCCTGCCTTTGGCTCAGGTCATGATCCTGGGGTCCTGGAATAGAGCCCCACATTGGGGTCCCTGCCTGCTCTGCAGGAAGCCTGATTCTCCCTCTCCCACTCCCCTGCTTGTGTTCCCTCTCTCCCTGTGTCTCTCTCTGTCAAATAAATAAAACCAAAAAAAAAAAAAAAAAAACAGATTTATATACATCAGCCAAACAAAACTGAAGGGGGAAAAAATGACCAGTATACACCACTAAGAATGGCCAAAATTAAAAAGTCTGAAAAGAACAAGTGATTAACTAGGATATCATTTTTTGCCTCTTAGCTCCAAATCCACTGTCATTACCTGTTCTGTGATAATGGAGGTTTACCCTGTATGCATGTCTCTTTAACAGCTACGTGAAAACAAAAGCTTACTAATTCAGGCTGTGGTTTCCTGTCCACCAGCCTTGGTCAACTTAATATCTCAGAGGAATGTTTTCTGCTTGCTCAGAAACAGAATGTTGGAAGAGTCTTCTCCAAGAAATCTGACCAACCAATCATTCCAAAAGACCTAAAGGTATTGACATTAGGCATTCCTAATTATGATATCTAGTCAAATGACTCTACAATAAAGTTCACAGTTGACAAGTCCCACGCATGCACTCAGAGCTTCCAAACAGCTTTTTATTTTTTTTTATTTTTTTTCCAAAGTGCTTTTTATATCTGACTTAGTCATGAGCAGATGACCAAAGATTATAAGCACATAAAAAGAGCAACTCAAAGAAACAAACTACTTAGAGGAGAAAAATAATATCTCTAGGGAAAAAAAGAATATACCCCCATGAAGTAAACTCTCAGAAATTAACATGACAAAAGTAAAAAAAAAAATTTCAACAGGAAGGTTATTAGGTAAATCTCATGAAATTCCCTGGAAATAAAGTCAACAAAAACCCAATATAGATGGCTAAGAAGAGATACAGACAAGTGATAGAAAACTGGGGGTTGAATGAGTTTTAAGTAGAGAAAAAACTACAGAAATGAAAAAGTAAGATAATTGTTAACTCTAGGAATAACAAGAACCAGGTAACAAAGGAAAAATAATAGTTAGCCACATGGCTTATCTCTGCATAGCATATACACAGTGCATAATGTGAACACTGAGTACTGATATAATCAAAATTAAAGGATAACTATTTGGGTGCTCGCTACAGCAGCACATATACTAAAACTGGAACAAGACAGAAGATTAGCATGGCCCCTGTGCAAGGATGACACACAAATTCATGAAGTATTCCATATTAAAAAAAACTAAAAATTAAATAAAAATAGAAGAAACTATTTGGGGAAAAACAGGAAGAAGTATGTATGTGTGTGGAGTGGGAGTAGACAGAAGAAACAGCAAACCCATCTACAGGCGAAAGTTAACAGATAATGCCTAAACCAAGCAAACAAAAGGCAGTATAATTACAAGCACATGTAATAATGTAAATAATATTAGAGCACCAAAAGGATCAGCTAACAATCAAAAGTCGTTGACCCTGCAGAAGGCGAAAAAGGCGGGAAGGAGGCTAGGAAATGCTCTTTGGTCTAAAAAGAAAACAGCACCAACAAAAAAACCCTGTAACCTAACTCTTTAATCTATGTTCTTATGTAACTTTAATAAAAGTAAAAACTTTAAAAAGAAAAAGAAAATGAAAATAGCTTGCCCATATTCTCATGGTAAACTAGAAAATATGATTTTTTTAAAAAAGCATTCACAGTAGCAAAAAAAAATTTTTTTAAATACTTAGGAATAAATTCAACAAAAATATGCAAAATGTAGATTAAGAAACCAGTGCTACTTAACGGAGGGACCTAAATAAATGTAGACATAACCAGTTCCTAGATTGTGAACACAATAGTTCTTAATTTGATGGATAAATGTAAATCTAATTATAACTAAAAACTAAATGATTCTAATACCTGGAATAAATGCACAACATTACCAATGATGTTTTAAAAACTGAAATATTTGAGGTGACAAGCCTAGTTTCAAAGCTATTATCCAGCGAGAATACCATTCTAAATGAAGGCATTAAAGGTGATTTTATATTTTCTTAATTTTGCTCATTTGTATTTACTCTCTCTTTTTTTTTAAAAGAATCAGTGCAGGGTACTTTTAAAATAAGTTATTGGGGAAAAAAAACAAGAAAGGTAGTTAATAGGTTACTGAGTCCAACAGATCACATTGATACTTCTTCTACCGTATCACATGATCTCAATAATGAATTAAGTTTCTTTGTTTTGGTCCTTTTGACGTCTCTTTAAACATACCACTAGGGCAACAATAAAACTGCCAGGAAGGCAAAAGCGTATTTACTTGACCAATTTAAGAGTGAACAGAAATCCAGTATTAGGAGTTCTCCAACAAAGACAGCAAAGAGAAAAATGGAAAGAAACAATCTAGTAATGGATCAAAAAAGAAAGTTCCACAGGATCCTTAGAGTGGATTGTGAGGGTTCTTCCCCCAACACTTTTATTTTAAATCGAATTTCTTTTTCTTAGAATCTCTGTGAAAAAGTTCATTATTTCCATATACATATGAACTGAGGCAAAGGGCAGTCACATGACTTGTTTGAAATTAAACAAATCAATGACTGAACTGTAAACAGAACCTAGGATACCCAACTGCTAGTCTGCCGCTCTAACTAATGGACTATGCTCCCTGCTATGTAATAGGACTGTTTCCTTGAATGACAAATTCTTCATTCGCCATCAGTTTATCAGCCAGAGGCTTCATCATTAGTTTTGCTATTCTTGCATTCATGGCATTATTCTAAGAATATGAGATTTCCATGATAAAAAAATATAAAGACCACTGCTTATTATACCATACCAAATCTGAAAATTCCAACTGCCCTGGCAAGGACACTTCACCAAGCCTGCATTTAATGGCACATTTATAGGTAGAACTGCCTTTTTTTTTTTTAAAAGATTTATTTATTCATTTATTTGAGAGAGAGAGAGAATGCAAGCAAGGTGGGGAGGGGCAGAGCGAGTCCTAAGCAGACTGCGAGCTGGGCGCAGAGCCTGACATGGGGCTCGATCCCAAGACCCTGAGATCATGAGCTGAGCCGAAGCCAAGAGTCAGACACTTAACCGACTGCACCACCCAGGCACCCCAATTAACATCTATTTTGGGTTGGTCAGTGAGCTAGAGAAAATGAGTTTTGTTCTTACAGACCCCAATATCAGCGCACTTAAAATCTTACATTAGAGCATTCTATGGTGTCATTAGTCAACAAAATTCACATACATGCCCTGCATGTAAAAGTCCAAGAGGCAGCAGGTTGTTAAAGACACATGGAGCATCTGTGATGCTAGAAAGTAGACTAAGCTAAAAATGACATGCTCTTATATTCTATGCTAAATCTATAAAAGAAAATTTACCGGGTAAGCAAAGTAAATATCTGAAAAGAGGTATGCAGTTGCTTGTCTTTGAGAAGCACTTTGTGTTTCTTTGGCACAGATCACGGTGGCAGTAGTAGCAGCAGCCCTGCCCTTGGTGCTGATTTCTTACCACTCTGAACGCCTCCTCTGAGCCAGAATACACTGGCTGTTGCTGATCATGCTGTGAGACACCTGCACTGGCTACTAGGCTTGTCATGACGCACAAAACCCTACCATCTTCAGCTTGACATTGTGCAAGTTATAATTACTCATCCAAATGAACATGTCAGAGCAGCAGCAGCAGACCTCTCATCAGAGCAAAAGAAAAATACATCAAAACATTATCAACACAGCAGGAAGACAGGGACCATAAGGAAAATTACCCATTTTTAATATGGATGCCACAAAGCCATGCCTATTATTTCACAAAAAGAAAGGAAAATAAAGATCTTCCAAGTCTGAAGTCCAGAAACACTGACTCCAAAGAGAAAATGTACAAAACAAAAACAGACAAGGATTATTTTTTTAATCACTTATCTGGAACCTATGTATGTACAATCTCTTAAATATAAGTTTGCTGTTAGACTACATTTATTTTGCTTAAGAACCACAACTGTTTAAAAATTAAGAAAAAATAACACTCACAAGCAGAATTATTTCCAACAAATCAATGAAAAAAGATCATAGACAGCAAAATAGTCTGATATTGCTTACTTTTAAAACATAAACTAATATTGCCAATACTCTTACCACGTCTAAAAGACTCGAGAGCTCAAACCACTGGTATTATCACCAAAATGCTTATGACGTACTGCTAGACTCTAAAATAATAATAATATATTTTGAAAAATTTCTAAATTTTAATAGCAAATATAAAAGAAAAACTGAAATTACCCCCAGATCTAAGCAAATGAAGACACATCCAAATTCTACGAGCATATATAAAATATGCAAGTGTAAATAAGATTCCTATCTCCTACTTAAATATGAAGAAAAACCATACTAACTTTTAGGATGATAGGAAACTATCTTTTCAGAAAAAGATATGAAAGATTTTCCCATGCAAGACACAAAAAGCAGAAATCACAAGGACAAGATTGATAAATAGGACAACACTGAAAGTTAAACTTCTGACTGACAAAATAGGTTACATACAAAGGTTAAAATTAAAAGTACACCACAGAGAGAAGATACATCCCATATAACCAACCACTGGTATCCAAATTAAAAAGGAATGCTTACAATAAAAGAAAAAATTTTAAATAAGCAAAGATTATAAACAATAAAAATGATTTCAATTCTTGTTAAGAATTAAGGTCAGGCTAAGTAAGACCTGGGAAGGATTTGGAGAAGTAGATATTACATGCATTGCTGGGTAGGGGTATAAATTTATACAACCAATATGAGAAGGCAATTTGGCAATATTTAGTAATCTCGAAGAGGTACATTCCCTTCAATCCAACATTTTCTCTCAGCATAAGCCACACTAAGAGTCTCATATGTGTACAAGGAAATGTAAGGTTGTTCACTAGAACACAACTTAAGAAATTGTGAACAACCTTATCAGTAGTGCAACGAATAAATTAACTGATGGATTCATATAATGGAACTATTTAAAGCATTTAATGTACTATAAACATGCAAAGATCATGGGTAAATCTCAGAAACAATGCTGTATAAAAAAATTCAGACAGCCAATACTATAGAATATGGCATGAACAAATGTAGCAAGAAATATGCATGGATAGCACATGCATCAATTTCAGGGAGGTGGTTACCTCCAGAAAGGGAGAGAAGGAAAGAAAGGGAAAAGAGGAATAAGGTCTTAGTTGTTCCTAGAACATTTTATTCCTGAGAGAGAGACATAAATAAGAGCTAGAAATGAAACGAATGTGACAAAAAATTAACATCTGTCAAATCTGAGTTGTGGATAAAAAGGTATCCAAATTTTTATCTGTGCTTTTATTAAGGATCTTAGTATACTCTTTAATTAAAAAAAGATTATAACATTCCAGTTACTACTAATTCGTTCTGTTTTCTTGGAGCTAGTACAAAACAGAAAACTTGCTGTATGACCTAACTAAATCTAAAACTCATCCCATGCTTAAATGTGCAAGGCATTGAGCTGGTGTTAAATAGGGATAGAAAATTTGAAAGAAATTACCCGCAAAGATTTTCCAGTGTGTTGAAATCACAAAATAATTTTGCTAAATGATAGGATAAGGTAAGTGCTAAACAGTCTTTTTGTGAAGATGCAAACTTTTTCACAGATTTAAGACTGGGAAAAACTTGTATGGTTATCTACATTAAAAACACTACAAATTCATCAAAAATATAGTCTTCGACTTGGGATTTTGATACATATTAAAATGTAATCTAGGGACACATATCTGGAAAGAATACAATCCAGGTACAGTGTTATCTCATAATCTCACATAAAATATAAAGTTTACAGAGCCAAGCAGGAAATTTATATTTAAAAAAGAGGAAAATATTTTAAAAAGAGGAAAGCCAAAGAGAAAATGTATATTTTAAAAAGAGGAAAAGTTTCTTTTTTAAAATAAAAAATGAACACAGTGTTTCTTAGGTATTTATAACCTATATCAGAATACCAAAAGCAAATTACAGGGTTCTTCCTCTATTTATTTTGCTGTGTTTTCTCAGTTTCCATTGAAAGGAGGGACTGTTGTTTTTAAAGGAAAAAAATACGAAAAATAATTTTTAATATATATGCACAATTAAAATGACATCTGAATCTACACAACACTATTTAAATCCTCTTAGGTGTTTTTAAAAACTAACTTCATATACAATTACTGTGTGTATATACTTAAAAAATTAGGCATAAATTTTCCCTTGACCCCATCAAAATTT